ATACATCAGCAATCATAACTAAAGGCTTCTTAAATTTCGACTTTCTTTATCAAATCAGCATTATATGAAGAGAGATCTGATTTGTTATCAAAAGATTTGATGATGTGTGTATCTGTTGGGCTACATGCAATGGTCAGAACTTTTTAGCAAATTGCCCTCCAAAAGATGACTGTGCTCATTCTGGGGAGAAAAAATAATGGTTGAAGACATCCTGTTAAAATATTTTCGCATTAAAAAAATTCCCTTCAAATTGAAATACTATAGAATTCTACTGTCCTTTTACTGGAGTTATAAGCAGGCAGCTATTACTTGATAGCTACAAGTAAGGACTCCTATTCTTAGCCAATGCTGTCACTGATATCCTTTCCAGCTTAGTTCCATGGGAAGGGACGGGTGGGGCAAAAACACATAAGTATTTAAAAACTTATTACTTTATTTTTACTGATGAAACATACATTTCCCTGGAAACAAGAATAAGAACTGGAAGCCAGCAGCTGACATTGATACTACTTCTTAGCTGAATGTATTGCTTAAAAAGTGGTCCCATTCTGAAAATAATATAGTTTCATTCAACAGATCTCCTTCCTCAGTGTATCTTGAGTTACACATGCTCACTATTGACTAAAGTAAGTTTTTACTATTTTTTGGTTGCTAGCAGCACTGAAGACCCAATACAATTCAGAAAGGCTGAACTGGATTCTGTTCCTTCATGTTCATTATCTACAGAATTGTTTAATAGGATTTAGCTACTGGACCACAGGAGCAAACCCAGTGAGGGTAGTGTGTTTGCATGTAGATCACTGAGCACATAACTGAAAGAAAATGGGGTTAAATGCATATAGCTGAGGGCCTAACGTGTCCTGAAAAATATTTGTTACTGGCAATGATATAAAAGGAGATAGGACTGTAGCATGGTTTTCACGGAGGCAGATTAAGGCCTGTAACTGGGAACCTAGAAGAAAGGCCAGGAGGGTAACTAAGTCAGGTAGGCATCACTGGAGAATGGAAATCCTCCCATGAACACTGTCAACTTCCTTGGCAAAAAAATAAAACAGATGTTTAAAAGAACTGAGTAAAACAAAATCAACAACAACCTACCATTTTTTGTATTTTGAATATTTTCTTCACCCCAAAATCACTTTCTTGGGCTTTTCTGTAGGTTGAGTCCCTGTATGACATTACATTTGTGACTTTTGACACTGTGGTGTTAAATGGAAGGAGTGAGTTCAAATCTGCTAGAAATCTGAAGAGAAGGCTTTAATGGATATGAGAAGTTCCCAAGATTGTCAGCATCCACTTGGGGGAATTATTTCTGTGATTTTTTTATGTTTTATTAAGAGTTTTAAACCACATCTGAAGCAGAAAACCTCAAGACACGCTGATCTGTGGGGCCAGGAAAGTGCCAACACAAATGTCTTGGACGCAGATGGGAAAAGGGGCTATTATATTCATATTGACTTCCTAACTCTGTTAATATAAAAAAAAACTTTTGCATCAATAGAAAAATATGTTGTAATACATTCCCTTCGAGATGAACCTTTAGATCTCATAAAGCTGTCATTTCTAGTCAATACTGATGATATAAAGAATCTGTTTGGCATGATGAACACTGACATCTTTGCTGCTATCGGGCACAGTGTGAAAATCAGAGAAAATATCACATATTAAATAGATTGTCCATCTTTGCCCATCACTAAATGACTTTGGTCAGGATGAGTGAAGGTGCTTTAGCACAACTGACAGCCATTTGTTCAAAAGGGTAAGCAAGATTCTCAACACTGACAGCAAAGGTCATTCTGTTTGTGGGAACTGCACAGAGATTCTGACTGTTCCAAGGCTGTTAATACAACACATCAACATTGGGGGCAGCATTTAAAATAAAAATTGCTCCTGAAACTGATATATGAAAAAAAAAAAAAAAAAAAGCTGACAAAGCTGCTAGTCATTTTTCTCCTAGATGTGAGCAGATCCACTGAAGTTAAGGATTACTCATCTGCTTGAAGTTAAGGACGCATGTAAGTTTGTGTAGGGATCAGGGTTGAAGTTCCAAAACGTTGCTTTACTATTAGTGTCACAGGGATTAAAAACAAAACACAAACACCCGACACACATTTCAAAACTAGGTAGCACCTTGTACTGGAGGATGGGCTCCCAGATAGCTACAGTGAATTCTGTAGAGAGTTTCTGAGAATCTTCTGGCAAAATATTCAGATCAATTAAAAAAGGTTCTACAGAATTTCCATAGGATGTTAATTTCACACCCACTTTATGCTTGCAAAAGTAGTTGTCAAGGAAACTAATTAGTTGCATAATCATAATTGCAGTAATTACCTGTATCTAAGGGACTATATCGGGGTCGGCAACGTTCGGCAGGCGGATCACCAGGGTAAGCACCCTGGTGGGCCGGGCCAGTTTTATTTACCTGCTGACGCGGCAGGTTCGGCCGATCGCGGCCCCCACTGGCCATGGTTCGCCGTCCCGGGCCAATGGGGGCGGCGGGGAAGCGGCGCGGACGAGCAATGTGCTGGCTGCGGCTTCTCGCCGCCCCCATTGGCCCGGGATGGCGAACCGCGGCCAGTGGGGGCCGCGATCGGCCGAACCTGCCGCATCAGCAGGTAAATAAAACTGGCCCGGCCCGCCAGGGTGCTTACCCTGGCGAGCCGCGTGCCAAACGTTGCCGACCCCTGAGCTACATGTTCAAATAGTTGCAAAAGCATGTGCATAAAATGAAAAATGCTCCATCTCCATTTAGATGTTGGTTACCTGAATTGCCTTTTATACACAAGTATAGAGCTTTGTTACCACACGTGCAGGTATTTTGTGTTTGTGTCAGTTGTTGCAATTATTTATGATTTTAAACAATTATAAACAATTGTAAAGAGGTACGCTTATATTTCATTAGATATATCTATACCTAAGAGGCATTAAGGTGAAACTTTCATACTGTTAAACAATTCCAAATATATCAAACGTATAAAGGAAATCGGTTTGCCTTTCTTCTGTTTTTCACAAGGTTTTATTACATTTTCTACTTGCAAAAGTTTTTTCATTGAGATGAAAGCTGTTTCATAGAGTCATATGAGCAAGGCCAGAAGGGACTATTGTGATCATCTAGTCTGACCTTCTGCATAGCACTTCCCCACAATAATTGCTAGAGCAAATCTTTTTTCCTTACAGCCCACATCTCCATTTCCATTTTGTCCTGAGGTAAAATCTTAATGCTGAACTGTGACACCACAATGTTTCTGTGGCAAACAGATTGATGTCATAAGGCATCCCCTTTCACTGCAGGATCGAACAGAAGTAGACTGGACTGTGAGGGAACTGAGCCCCTGTCAAGACCCAAACAAATTTCCACCTATTTATACCGACCAAAGGCACAAACCAACACCCTGCTTACACCAGGGCTTGATTTGATCCTAAACTATTCTTACTAAGTTATGTGGCATGCTTCTTAACTGTATATAAATTCCAGAAATAGTACTTTTAATATCAATGGATTATTTCTGATGATATGGGAAAAGCCATTCACATAGATGCCTAAGACATTTCTCTTTAAAATATGTTTTCTAAAAAAATCCGCTAACAATGTAGTGGGTTGATTGTTCGTTAGCAGCTGATAAGATAACAGGAGAAAAAAAAGAATGTGTTAATTATTTGAAATATTTCCAGTGATACATCAAGGCTATAGGTCATTTGGAATCAACACTAGTGAAACCAGAGCTGTTCATACATTCAGACCCCATAGGAAACACAAGAATTGATATGGTATTACTTTTCTCCTTTTTTCCATTGGCCTTGATATATATTTGGCAAGTTTTAAATTTTAGTGTAATACATTATCTGTGTAATTTATAGCATACATAAAACCTCTGTGAAAATTAGATGCTGCAAAAGTTTAGCACTTGATTTTTAAATTTAAATGTTACTGCCATAACCTGAACTAAAACCTTGAAAACTCATAGTTCTAAAATTAAGCTGTTTTAGTTATAGCAGATTAGAAAACATCTGAAAATCCTAAAAAACTAATTTATGTCCATTGCGTAAATTAAATGAATCAGATTAGACCGTTGCTGAAAATGATGCATGGGAATCGGTAAGTTGTGCCTCAAATTTCAGTTTGAAATATTTTTTAAAGGTTACATTTTAACCCTCAAGAAGTTAATAACTGAAACACTACTAGCCCTGAACTACTGTGTATTTTTGCTTTTTTAAAACTGTTAACACCAAATTACATAAGCACTTATGCACATGAGCAACTTTATTTATAGGAACAGTCACGTTTGAAGAGTTGGAACTTTAGGACTTTATACACTTAAAGTTCCTTAAAGAGTAACTAAAGAGATTAAATAAAGCAGACCTATTTAAAGGCTTGATCTTGCAAGGCGCTGAGTATGCAACCTGCTCAAGCAGAGCCCTTAATACCATGCTTAATTTAAAGCATGAGTAGTCCCATTGACTTGGACTGAACCCCAGGATACCAACACATGAATAGATTTACAACAGACAACATAAACCATTAAAAACAAAAAAGCTTACAAGGATACAGCAAGTGCATTTCTGAATAACAATCTCTCTTATTAACTGCCAGTAACTGAGGTTGGGGTTCTGTGTTCTTCTGCAATTATGGATGACTTCACTAATACCAATAGTAGTGAAAGGAAAGGAACTTTGACTGAAAGGCCTTTGGGGCAGGGACCATCTTTCTGTTGTGTGTGTACAATGCATAGCACAATGGGGTCCTGGCCCATGACTAGGGATCCTAGGCCCTAGGTAATATAAATAACAACAACAAACTCCTCCAGTTTAGGGGTTATACATCCAGTCTTTGCTGACAATAAAGAATACTGGGATGTCAAGTCTAGGCCGTTAAAAAGGTTTTCAGTTCTCAATAAGCTTAAATTCAGAGACTGCAGCAAGAACCAAAGAGCACACATGTTAAATACTATCAGCAGAAAACAACCAGTTCAATATTAGACTATATTTTAAAATTAACTTACCAGTAATAATGTTGGGCTTTGGTGGCATGCTGAACTCATACAATGTTGGTTCGGAATAACCCAGTCTATTGGCAGCAGTAATTTGCACTTCATAACCCATGGTCCATTGCAGATGCTCTAAGATTATGTGGTCTCTACTACCCTGTACTTTTTTCTCTAGCCACTGGTCTTCCTTATCTTTCTGTAAAGATGCAAATATTAGTTTAAATAATCATGAATTCATATACTAAAGCCAAAATTGTTAAGGTTGCATAACCTAAATTAAGCCCCAAATCTTTTTCAAAGTTCTCACAGTCCATTTTGCCTTCAATATGAGTTGTAGGTAATGAGCTTCTCTGAAATTAGGACATTTTTTACTTTGGTTCCTAAATATGGATTTAAGAACATATCATTAGGTGCCTGAGTTTGAAAACGTTGTTATAAATTTGTATTTTGTTCAAGTACTGATGCCCATTTCAAAGCATAGAAGAATCACAATTTATATGTTCTTGTAAAGGTACAAAACTGCTTCATTTAGAATAAATGAAGCTTCAGTGATTTTTATTATAATCAATGTTTTTTTTAAAGAAAATTCCCAATATAAACAAAGTTGATCAGTTACCGAATGCAATAAATAAATGCTCATAAAAACATAGTTGTGACTGCATCTGTCCTTAGTCTCAGTGCAGAACTCTGAACAATGATGGAAATTCATTGGCCCTATGTTAACGGGGTATCCCACTCAAGTAGGTTATGAACTTATTTATAACATCCTGTAGGATATATAATATCATATACAGTATATTTTACAGTTTTCTGAATTCAAACCTTTCATGATTATTAACTTTCACACGGAGCATCTAATTTAATTACATATAATTAAATATTGAAGCTAAACATGTATGTAAGGCCCTCATCAGTGAAAGTACCACAAGTTATTTGACAGAAATTATATTACATTTAAAAGATGGATATATAAAATATTGTTTTGAGATCTTAAGGTACACAAACAAAAAATAAAAAATAAATATATAAACACATTGTATTGGTATATTTTAGGCAGCACTAGAAGTGCTGCCCATAGTTACAAGGAGCCAGTGGGGCTGAGGGTAGAAATGAACTGGGTGGGCAAGGAGACTGAGACTGGAAACAAAGAGTTGGGTGGGATGAGTGGGATCAAATGAGGAGCCAAGTATAGTGGCAGGAGAGATTAAGACAAGGAGACTTGGATCGTATGCTGGGAGAGGGATCAGATGAAGAGCGTAGGGAGCCAGAAGACTGGGGGTAGCTGGGCAAGAAAACTAGGACAAGGAGCCTGAGAATGATACTGAAATGATGAGTTTGGGGAGGGAGACTAGGACAGGGAGCAAGAGTGGAGGCAAGACTGGGACCCAGACAGGGAGCCCAGAGATGGACTGACATTAGTTACGGAAGGTGATTGGGACTCGGACAAGGTGGTGGGGATAGAGATAAGATTGGAACATGGATGTATTGGGAGGGTAGGGGCAGACTGAGTTAGGCTTGGGAGAAAAGGGACAGAAGTGTCTGAGTCCAGTAAAGCACCCTCCAGAACCTGAAATAGAACCCAACTTTCCTGAATCACAACTATCTGCTGATGTCAGCTAATATCTGTGAAACCCGCTGGCAACATTTGTCCTAATCCCCATTTAATGGCTGGTCCACACACAGAGTGACAAACTACATTGCTATTAATTACTCCATTAGTGAAGTGGCAGGGGGTCTGTGTAGCGGATCTAAAGGTTCAAACTCTGCCGATGAATGATGTGAGAGTGAATATGACACTATGTGTTAGAATTTCTGGTTTTTAGTGGTTATTTAAAAAAAAAAACCTAGGAAATTACACCCAATAAACTATGTTAAAAGAATGTTATGATTGCAAAGTTAAGCCATGAAAAGTCAAGAAATTAGCATTATATATAAGTATGTTATATGTTCAAAGCTCCTAATGACTTGCAGATGTGTGTGCTCAGCACTTCTGCAAATCAGACACCAGGGTCTCAAGTTGGGCACCCAGAAAAAAAGGAAAATGCATTTAGTTAGCATCTATAAAAAGTTTGGTTTAAGTGACTTGCCTAGCATCACACAGGAACCCTGTGGCAATGGCAGGGATAGAATCCAATTCCCAGGGCTGCATTCAACTTCCTTAACCAGAAGACCATCCTTTCTCTTCTTGCAATCCCCTACCTCATTCACTACACACCTTCCAATTTCTGCAACAAATGTGGCAGAAGTCCTACAAGTAACAGCCTCTTTCACTACAGAACCCTCATCCATACCCAGAACAGGTCCATCATGTGAACTGAATGAGGCTGGGGTCCTGTGGAAAAAAATAGCATGTGGTTATGTAGTTAAAGATCGTAAAATAATCAGAAGGGCTGAATTAAGATTTAAAGGCAATCTTAATTCTGGCATTTCCTATCTTTTGAGTATTTGACTTTGTAACCTTAACATTTTTAACATAGTTTTTGTATACAATAGATAATGAAATTTTGATGATCATAGTGTATAGCTATAGAAATCACCGCACATTATGTTTGTATATGCTTTTTTATATATGGGCTATAGGTCTTTTTCCTAAAGTCTATATCTGTGCTCTATAGTAACATGATCCATGCTCTGTGGAGCCCATTTCAAAATTGAATAAGTTCATGAATAAGCACAAGGGCTAAGGGCCAAATAGTGTCTCTACTCCCTAAAGCCCATGTAGCAGCAGAAACCCAGATATAAAGGCATTGCAGTGGGATATCCACCTCACACAAGGCAGAGCAGATTAAGTGAGGTTAATTAACTTGACAGGCTGCAACTGAGGAAGAACAAGGCAAAGCATGTTAAGTGAGGTTAATTAAGTTGATAGGCTGCAACTGAGGAAGAAGAAGATAGAACCCAGCTGAGTAGACAGGCCTGGTATAAAGCCAGGAAGTTGTCAGCAGAAAGGGGCTGCAGGGAAAGTAGGCGGCAATCATTCCCTGAAAGTAAAGAGGTGTGTTTGAGTTACAGAGTTCAGTAGTCCGCAGTTACTTCCAGTGATGAGGGAGTCTGGGTCGGTAAACTCAGAGGAGGTCCAGAAGATCAAGAAGAAAGTTGCAAGGAGTCCAGGAAGGTAGCAGAAGGAGCTGGCAGACCACAGTTACCAGATATAGGGTCCCTGGACTAGAACACAGAGTAGTGGACAGGCCTGGATTCCCCTACCAGCCACTAGAAAGGCAGCAATGAACCTGGCCTTGGACTGGAAGGCTGACTGGAATGGCAATTTGGCTGCTGATCCAGTGGGACTTTGATACCCTGGAAGGGGAGGACTATAGTGACCTGGCCAGAGGGCTGTGTCACAAAGAAGGAGCACCCTGAGTCTCAGAGAAACAGAGAGACCACAGGGCGAGGAAAAGGGCATCAGACCTAAGTGAAGCAAATCCCCAGATGTGGTCACAAGGAGGCATCCTAGTAGTGAATGTACCCTGTGACAGGCATATTCTTTCCAAAAGATGAAATCCAAGGACTGAATTCAACGACAACATTATGTGAGAAAGATTTAGCAGTATGTTGCTAACACAAATTGGAAACAATTAGAATAAAGGCAAAATTGGGAGAGTGAGCTACCTGGGATTCCATCAAGCTTTGCTACCTCATCTTTCCCTAAACAGGGATAAACCCTGTGTTCAGAGCCCACCAATGGCATCTTAGGTAAACAGATAAAACGAAGAGCAGAAAATTCCTTCACTATCACTGATATCTCATATGAATTTTCAAGAGTCCTTTACTCAGGATAGTACTGAGCAATATGCTCAGGCTAATTTATTTGCTAGCGTGTGTGTGCATGTATGTGGGAAACCCACTCACTGTTTCTATAAATCTCCCTGTTTATGCTAAGCCCCTTTATTTGATTACTTTAGAAGCAGAAAAACAGAACCATAAAGAAAGATTTCTACCTCATTAGGCTTTTCTTGTTATTATAATGCTAATTATTATTTATAGAATGCTGTACACAGTGCTTTACCAACACATAAAAGACAAGAAGCTCCTTTAAAGCAAGCACTTGCAATCTAAAATCTGTTCCTTTAGGTACAAAGGCCTCCTATTAGTACTACTATTAGCAGTTTCGTCTCTAATATACATCAAGAAATGTAAATCTTCAGATGTTACAGTTAGAACAGCATTAGCTCAGAGATTGCACTGTGTTTTTTGTTTTGTTTTCTGTAACACTGCTTATTAAGTAGATCACAGATGTTGTAAGCCTGGTCACTGGGCTCTATTATGACTGAGATTTTCAAAGCTGACTAGGAGAACTGAATGCCAAGTTCCATTAATTTTAAGGCTTAGGGAACGAGTTTTTTTTCAAAGTATAATCTCTTTGCTGAAACAAACCTTACACAAAGTCATAGACCAAAGAATATGATTCACTATATGTATAATGCCAACTCCTTGCTAAGTGCTTTACAGAAGGTATGAAGCCAAATGGTAAATTTTTCAAAAATGTCTAAGGGTCATATTTTTAAAGGTATTTTGGTGCCTACAGATAAGCTCCTAATGGATTTATTAAAAACAACTAGGTATCTAATAAATGTACGGTACTCCAGTGGAACTGATGGATATTTTAGACTTCAAAGAGACCTTAGGTGAGTCTTTAAAATCACCTTGGGAACTAAGCAGATAACCAGTGTGAAGTAGAGAGATGGGAATAGGAAATACCAGAAATCTTCACGAAAGAAGAAAGAAAAATGCATGGTGAATATTAAAAGATGTAGATTCCCCTTGATTCCCCAAAAAGTGAAGAAAAACAAGTTAGTCAATATTTGGTTAGCAGCATCTTTGAAACTACTGTTGGTGGGCGACTCACACTTGTTTCAGGCAGCTGGGGACTGCAGGTAGGCAGTAATGCTCTACAAAGAGATATAAACAATTCCTGTTTTAATATTGATGTATTAGTTTCTTCTATCGTTTTCTTTCTCTGGTTGGGAACTGGCAAGACAATATGCCACCAAGGAAGCAGGGTCTGAGAACTCATTAGGAACAAGCCTTGCAGAATAGGGATGAGAGGCCTATGGTTATTGGACCAGCAGCTATGTAGGCTGTTACTTACTGGAGATGGCTCAAAAATGCAATAGGCCAAATTCCCTGCTGGTGGGAATGGACAAAGCTCCATTGAAGTCAGGGGAGCTGCACTGTTTGCCAACTTGGACGTTTTTA